CAGGGGGACAGTGGGGGCATGGCTGGGGCCCTGGGAGTGACCTGGGGGCACTGGGAGTGACACTGGGGGACCTGGGAGTGACCTGGGGGCACTGGGAGTGAACTGGGGGGCACTGGGGGTCACCATGGAGTCCTGGGAGTAAATTGGGGGGCACTGGGGGTGACCTGGGGGCCTTGGGAGTGACCTAGGGGCCCTGGGGCAATTGGGAATGAACTGAGGGGCACTGAGAGTGAATTGGGAGCCACTGGGAGTGACCTGGGGGCACTGGGGCAATTGGGAGCGAATTGGGGGCACTGGAAATGAACTGAGGGCCCATGAGTGACCATGAGGCCCTGGGCATGACTTGGGGGCCCTGGGAGTGACCTGGGGGGCACTGAAGGTGATCAGGGGGCCCTGGGAGTGACCATGGGGGGCCCTGGCAGTGACCTGGGAGCTGGAGTTTGGGGTGCAGTTTGGGGTGCAGCAGGGTTGGGTGGATTCAGCTGCACAAGGTGGGGCTGGAGCTGGCACCCCACAGAGGGTGCTGAGCCCCACACAGGACTGGGAGCCCCTCTGGGGACCCCAATTCCCCTCAAAGCTCCATTTTAGGGAGCTCTGCCTCCAGGTGTGCCTCGTTGCCACCTCCCTGTCACAGGGGTGACAGTCACTGGCAAGGGGGGCACCCTCCCTCCCAGCAGGCAGCACATTCCAGCAGCTCATTCCCAGGGAGTGATTCCTCCATCCCTGCAGCATCCAGCCCTCTACATGACAAGTTTCAGGGTGGACACCCCCTTGGGGTGCTGGCAGGGCTCTGTCTGCTCCTCTCTGGGTGGCAAATGTGTGATGGTGACACCACGGTGCCTTTGCCCACCCCGGCCCCTCCACCCCATGTTGTATTGCACCGAAGAGTTTATTTAGGTGTTGTTTTGTACTGGGTGATGGGAAATTTGTACTGAGTATGGTATGGCACATAGATTGTTGTTTCTCCTCTCCCATCACATGGTCTGTCCCTCATACACCCCTCTGCTGTACCCCATGGTGGTCTGGCCCCTGGTTATTTACCCCTCCCCAAGGGTATCCCATTGGCCAGGGTCCTCTTTCCCCACCCCGTCCTCAGGTATAAAACTGCACTGCAAAGAGGTCACACCATTTTGTTACACTGGGTGGTCACTGGAACCAGAAGCGTGCATTCCTAATGGACAATAAACAGGACACTCATCCCCACGTGGAGAAGAGCGCTTCTCATCTTTGACTTTGTCCATGCCAGACTGTTGTATTCATATTGTTGTTATCTGATTTCTAGAGTCCCATACCTTCTGGGTGATTTCCTCACACACAGCTCTTCACAGCAGTGTTGTTCCTGCTCCTTCATCAGGGCTCCTCCAAGGCTCTCCCTGACCAGCCAACCCACCCCNTGAGGTTTCAGGTCCCTTCCCACCCAAACCATCCCGTGATTTGGTGATCCTGACCCACCCCAGCATCCCAGGGAATCCCAGTGCTGCATTCCCGAAGGAATAAATCAGAATCACAAACTGGATAAGATCAGAATTGATCACTGGGGGTCACCGTGTTTCCCCAGACCTGACCCCTCTCCCCGGCACAGCCAGCACAGGGATGTACTCCAGGTGCAGCCAGGCTGGGAATTCCAACCATTCCAGGATCCCCAGCAGCACCCAAGTTCTTAAATCCCACACTGGGGTGGGTTATCCATGGGTGTCCAAGAGCTGAGAGCTCCAGGGCAGAGCCCCTCTCTCCCAAGATATTTCCCTTCCTGACTCAATATTCCAGCAGCTCTCAATTTTAACACCATCCATCCATTTCAAATCTAATAAGATATTCCATTAAAAAGATGCATTTGCATCCCGGGCTGAGGCAGCATTAATATTAAAATTGTGTTGGATGCAGAGTTTGTGGGAGTGCAAACGTGCTCCAGAGCCGCCAGCACTGGATAAACCCTTTGGAAAGGAGCTGTTCCCTCAGGCAGAGGCCAATTCCTCATGGAGATGTTTTATTTCCATGGGAAAGGAGGGAAAACACGGGAGTGCTGCACCCCAGGCTGGGCTGGGACCACCTGTGGGCATGGGGGGGTGCTGAGCCCGGTCTGATCCCGGGGCTAATCCTGGTGCTGAGCCCAATCTGATCCTGGTCTGAGCCTGGTGCTGAGCCTGGTATGAGCCCAGGGCTGAGCCTGGTGCTGAGCTCAGTGCTGAGCACGGTCTGATCCCAGGGCTGAGCCTGGTGCTAAGCCCAATGTGATCATGGTCTGAGCCTGGTGCTGAGCCCAATCTGATCATGGTCTGAGCCTGGTGCTGAGCACGGTCTGATCCCGGGGCTAATCCTGGTGCTGAGCCCAGTGCTGAGCCCAGGGCTGAGCCTGGTGCTGAGCCCAGGGCTGATCCTGGTCTGAGCCTGGTGCTGAGCCCAGTATGAGCCCAGGGCTGAGCCTGGTGCTGAGCCCAGTATGAGCCCAGGGCTGAGCCTGGTGCTGAGCCCGGTCTGATCCCAGGGCTGATCCTGGTGCTGAGCCCAATCTGATCATGGTCTGATCCTGGTGCTGAGCCCAGTCTAAGCCCCATGCTGAGCCTAGTCTTATCCCAGTGCTGAGCCCGGTGCTGATCCCAGTCTAAGCCTGGTTCTGATCCCAGTGCTGAGCCTGGTCTGAGCCCAGTCTGATCCTGGTGCTGATCCCGGTGCTGAGCCCAGGGAAGGAGAACATCCCCATGGTTGTGGCCCAGCCCTGCAGGGATCTGCCAGCTGGTGGGAATTAATTAATGGTAGATGAGCTTTTAATGCCCTTGGACAGCCTCAGCCTCGACCACCTGGTTCAGGGGCCGGGGTGCTCCCGAGGGGGGTTTGCAGGGATTGGGGTGGGAGCAGGAGGAGCAGCACAGACTGGATAAAGTCAGCCTTCACCTTGCCTAAAATGCTGTTTTCCCCTGATTTGGGGTGAAATCCTGGCAGTGGGGACACAGCCTGGGGGACACAGTGTCCCCAAGTCTCTGTGACTGCCAAGGGAGGAGCGAGGTGACAGCGGCCCCATCACACCCCAGCAGCTCTGCCTCACCAGGGATGGGAAAACGGGGCAAAAACCCAACTAAAGGGATTTCCTCAGCTGCTGGGACCCGGGCATTGCCTCCCCAGACCCCTCTGGGAGCTGCCATCCCGCTCAGAGTGGCACCAGCAAGGACACTGCTCCCCTGTCCCCCCAGCCAAGGCACTCACAGCTGTCCTCCTCCTCCAGGAACACTTTGCTGACGTAGCAGGCGTAGACGAAGCCGAAGAGCTGGGGAGAAACAGGGCAGGGAGAGGCTGGTTATGGGGGCATGG